TTAAACTTTAAAGCTATGTTCCCTATGTTCCATTCGGAACACAAGGAATGGGAAGGCATAGCTGGCAGCATTTCTTGGAAGCTATCCGTTTACTTAACTAACTGATGAAAATAAAATGACGAACCTAGTTTGGTGAGTGACGTGATGCTCAAGTCTGAAATATATATGCTTATCTAGTGAGCAATAATTTAGTCACAAAATATCAAACAAAAGTGACAAGAGAATTCATAATAGTTCACATAGAACGAAAACCTCGTGGAGGTAAGTTTACGGTAGAAAACTTCACTTTGATGATAGATTTATGCAGTATTAACGGGCAAGAGTTATGTTAGAAACTCAAGAATCTCACTGACTGACTGACTGGTTTCAACGTAGAACTTTGTACCAATGTGCATTAGTTCCAGTCGCCACACTTCACCGAGCACACAAAGCCACAGAAGAAGAAGAAAGTAAAAAGAAACGCAAAATAAGGACAGTGGACAGAGATATGAGGCAAAAATAATAGTAATATCGAAGAGCAATATAGTTTCATCGAGTATTATAAGTCAAAAGGAGTGGATGCATCTGCGCCAGTCATTGAGAACGATTTTGAGCCATGTCACCAATTATCTCCAGCCATTGGTGTTTAACGTCCCGAGAACCCCAACCAGTCAGGAAGCGTACACCTTCCTGCGTGACTGGCTGGTTTAAACTAACTGTTGTGGATTTCATTGACTGATGAAGCCATGTTTTGGTGTGACCACCACTAGCTCTTTTCCAATCTGACCCTATATCAGCTAACATTTTCCGAGGAGGGAGGCGATGGCTAGACATGCATGCGTAACACGTCATAACCATCTCTCTTAGTCGATGTAACTTCACAGTCTCTTCTATTGATTTCCCCTCCTTACCTAGCACTCGACCGATGCCTAACCATTTCACATGGGGGACAGAACGCAGGCACCTATGATCAAGCACAGCTAGCCTCTTCATGTATTCAAGCATCAGTAATTTCAAACTTCATACTTCAAGTGAAATCTTAGTTACAAGGTTTCCACGACTACAATTGATAATATGGAGTTTAAACGACTGCATAATTAGAGCTAAGACTTTATATATATGCCTATTTCTTTATTTTTTCCTAGGATTCATTCCTAGTGGGATTATACAAACCGACTACAGCACCTTCCCGATATGATCCATATTATTACCAAGTAACCGGTTCCATACCTGCTCGGTTGAACCGGTCGTCAGGATCAAGTTTATTCATAAAGCCAAGAAAATCATTCATTGAATCAAGATTATATCAGTCAACAACAAAAATCAATCATATCAGTCCTTCAGTTCGATGTAATGATGACGAGAGAAATAAACAGGCTCCTGAAGAGATTCGTACATCAAATACAGATATAAGTCCACTAGATCAATCAGCTTTTTCTCGGACACCAATCCCGGCTGGTCGGTCTACATGGCGTGAATCAAGAGACAGTTCAGCTACACTAAATCGAAGTACAAGTGACTCTACAATACGTCGAAGAGATGTCCAACCGTAAAACAAAAACAAAAAACTTTTTTTCTTCAGTTCACAAGGAGATTCAAATGTTGTGCACCAATAATCTTGTTGTTTGAGAAACAACTACATCACGAAAATTTCTGTTCACAAAAAATTTCTATTGTGTTTTTAACATACATAACCTTACATTGCGTATTTTTATGAACTATTTACACTATACTGCGCACCTGGGGGAGATTAATGCTGCTATTATTATTGTTATCACTTTTACAATAGAAAACACACATGTTTATGTATACACCACTTATTTCTTTTCGTTTTAAAGGGAAGAAGACAACTGTACTAAATTATATGCCACTGAAAATTCTATTATTTTTAATATAATTAAGTTAACTAACAAGGTTCTATTTAAGTTAAACTAATCACCCCTTTCAAATCTCTACTCCTTATATTCTTCTTTGCGAAATTTCAAAACAACCACACACAGACAGTGATAATTTTTTATGATATAAAAGTATTGTCCTATTGTACTCCTTCATGCTTTTTTTAAAAAAAAAAGAATGCTCTTATTTCTTCAAGACATAAAACTCTGTTTCAAACTATGCAAATTATTTCGATGTGTACAAATAGGACCAACAAGAATAAATATGTATATTATATGACACTTGTACGTTCAAAGCTTATTCAAAGAATATTTTACGAATTCACTATTAATACTTGTCTTTATTTTTGAATAATGAACACTCAAGATAATTTAAACAATGCTTTACACTCTAAAAGAATTCATAGCTATCATTATTTACGATGGTAAGCTGAAATACGGAGGCAACCAATGCTAAATAGGGTCTGTGTCTGTCTGTTTTCGATATAGAACTTTGCGCCGATGTGCAACAGTTCAAGTCGTTACACTCCCTCCTTGTAGCACCCAAAGCAAGAGACGAAAGTAGAAGAAATGCATAATAGAGACAGGAAACAGAGGTGTGAAACAAAGGAATAGTAATAACGAAGAACAATATAGTTTCATTGGAAATCATAAATCATAATCAGTGTATGCATCTGAGCCAGTCATTGAGAACGATTTTGAGACATGTCATTGGTTTTTACCGTTCCGAAAAACCCAACCAGGAAGTCTACACCTCCCTAAATAGGGTACATGAAGTAAGATGAGTAGTTTGGAGAATAAACGCAATGAACAATCTGTAAATTAAAACCTTATGATAAGACATTTCATAAGCTGAAATCATATCGATTCAACACGAGTCAGCAATCTAGGGAATTATTATTCACAAACTCAAAACAAAATGTTTCCTTCAATAAAATGACTTCAACGACGAGGTTATTGAAAGATTAGTCCTGAAATGCAACTGTATATAATTGTTTAGAATTCTAAGAGATGAAGTTATCATGATTCATTATCTAGTAAGTTTCCTAGATTTTAGTCACTAGAATGATAAAAATTTATTCAACTTATCCATCTTAACAGTAATGTAATACCAATGGATTTCGGGAAGCGGATGCCTAACAACTTTCATAACATATTGCAGTTCGGCGTAATCTATTTACTGACCACTGAAGCAGTGAAATAAGAACACCAAAAGACGGTGAATCCATGTCACCACAAACAACTTTGAGTTATATTAACCAGTGTGCGACAATTTATTTTGGTTGTTTTATGAACCCTAGATAAAATAAGTTTACAACTTTCTTCACATGTTAAACTCTAATTTAGAAAGTTAATGGCCTACTGCCATCTTTATCCATAGTATTCTTCAACAAACTTCCTGGGACTTTGCCATGGTAGGCAATTAATGAGTATGAATAATGTATGTACCAGTTATAAGAACCGGTAAATCTACTCCTAACATGTTTTGAGTTGCAGACAAGATAGTTGAATCAACCGAGTGAGTAATAACTCATTACCTGCATCGCTTGTTCACAATGACTATAATTTGGTAAGGCAAAGTGTGGACTGCTCCCAATAGTCATTTAAACATTTGACACGTAGATCAGGAGGTCAGCTGAGCAACAGTGAGATCTGCAGTGTGTTTACTTTCCTAGTTTGTTGCGCCCAAATTCTACTAGTAGTAAGTCATTAAAAGTGAATTCGGTGTGTTCTAGGTTACTTTTCAGTTTGTGAGCTATACATCTATTTGTGCTGTGAACTGAGTGGAGAATTGAAGCCTGCTAATTAGTTCAACTAATATTTAATTCGCTTTATCCATGTATATCAATGAGTTACCTCTGCTCACCGACTCCCCTATGGTCCTATACGCAGATGACTTAAAAATTTGGAGAGAGCTGAAGAGCAACAGTGATACGCTCACGTTGCAAGAGGACCTCAACAAATTGTCGGAGTGGTCTGTTGAATGGATGCTCCCGATCAATGTGGCAAAATGTGCAACCATGCGCATTGGACAAGCAAGCACGAGCTCCTACGAACTAGAGGGAATAACACTTCCATCAGTTCAGACTCACTTGGACTTAGGTGTCATAGTCAGCCACGACTTAAAAACTACAGCACACTGTCGCGCGGTGGCTGCACGTAGTTTCAGGTCCTTATGGGCTATTCGCAGAGCCTTTACAAGAATTACCAGAGATATGTTCACTTCCTTATACACATCTCTGGTTAGGTCAAGACTGGAAAACTGCATCCAGGCCGCCAGTCCGTGTCTAAAAGGGGATTCACACATTCTAGAAAGTATTCAAAGGAAGGCAACACGTATGGTTCATGGCATAGCTAACTTATCATACGAGGAAAGACTAGATAGTTTAAATCTCTTCTCACTGTCATACCGTAGGCAGAGAGGAGATTTAATCACAATGTTTAAAATTTTAAATAATGACTACGGACCTGACCTATTCTCTCTTTTCTTTCCCACCAGGTCGGAACACCTTAGAGGACATAGCAGGAAAGTTCAAAAGCCAAGGAGAAATCATATTGCTGTTGAGTACTGGTTCTCATATCGAGTCATAAACTCTTGGAACCGACTCCCAGAAGAAGTGGTGTCTGCAACCTCAACTGATTCGTTCAAGAAGGGTTTGGACAACCACAGAAATCTACTAGAAAAGGATTAACATAGGCTGCAAGCCTTCTATCCTCAACCAATAAATCTGAATCTGAAAAAATCTACCAGTCCCCAATTTATGTGAAGTTGGCGCTTACTCAACTCTCTCCAGAGCAGTTTGAATAATTTTAGTCTCCCGACAGGCCTCCCTGAAAAGTGTAAACAAATATCTACAGCCAGTTGTGACCTCTATCACAACGTTTTACAAGAGTGAAAATAGTATAAGTCTTTCTAGGTGAGCAACGACGAAGTTTTGCAAAGCTGATTATGCTGTTTCAAAATATATACATCTTATTAGTTCCTTATGTCGGCAGTGAAACTCAAGAAAGTCAAGTGTTATTGCCGAGATTTTATTCGGGTAGTAAAAATAGCTGATACTTGACAATATTTGATACAAATTGGGCAACTTAAGTTCATTAACAGAGTATAAAGAATATTGAAAATCAACGTTTCTTGGATTTTGACTTCCTAGGTGAATAAAATACAATAAAACAGAAACAGACTTTTTTGATTTTTCCTTCTTTCTATCTTTCTTTTTCTTCTTTAAAGGTAGTTTCTTATTAACGAAAGTAGCAGCACGCTGTATTTCATCAAACAAGTGATTATACCAATCGACTTACATCACAAGGATACTTCTGAGCCTCCAATTTAGACTTCGCTCGATTTTGCATCAGTTCCTTATAATTAATATATGCGTTTTTCGGCTTCTTAGCACCCATTTTGAGGAGTAAGGTTTTACGGGTTTCTTTCCGCTCCGCTCCTGATTGCATAGATATACTATACCTAAGCATGTCCAAAGGGACGTCATTAAGCTTTATGTAGACAGCTTCATCATCATCCTGAAATTCCAATAATCAATAAGTGTGAGTGCTATAAACCACGTTTTTCTCATCCTTTTCTTTCGCCTTGACCTTCATTTTGCAAACAAGGAGCCCGTAGTTCTCAAGGTCAGCTTTGCACTGTTCCAATATCCAATAGTCGCAACTATCTTATCTAAGTCTCTTGATTTCTTGCAAAGTCCTGTCATCTATAGAATTTTTGTGAATCTTTTGTGAACTATCACAGAGGAAACATGTTTTGTCCTACTAAAGCTATACTAAATGCTGCGAGCTGTAGAATATCACATTATACTTCGATGAAGTAAAGTAGTAGTACGGTATCGTTGCTTCGATTCGCATATGTCAGCTTAACGTGAAATTCTCCTAGCAGTGATATACAGTGAAAAGTGAGGTTTCGAGTGAATACGAGTGAATGACATGAAAAGGAGGGAGGGTGGCGCATGCTGATCAGCAGATATGGTCGTAATCACAAACGCGAATTGCTCCAAAATGTAGAACAGTAACATGCATTTTTTCACACCTCGAGAATTAAACATCAGTCTGGACAGTTAACAAAACAAAAATAACAATAAGAGTTGTACAGATCAAAATAATAAAAAAAAATGCTTTTGCTCCTACTATCTATAAGCCTGTTCCGATTCTTGCTAAGATTTTAAAGGCTGAAAGTATCGACGTTCACGGATAGTACGAAGTGTACTAACGCAAGATCTGATACCCACAACTTCTATAATATTCGTTCCACGTAGACCAAAGGCAAAGCAAAACAACAGAATCATTTTAGTATCTTCGGTTGTTTAGCATTTTATAAGCTGCTACCAAGCCAACCCGGGTGTTTCTCAGGTATACGAAGAAACATCACTCGACACTGATGCTGAGTTTCAACTCACTCATGATGGCTTAATTCTCCAGGGTGTTAAGCTTTCTTGTAGACTGAGTGAAAATTCTAAGATTCTAAAAGCCCCCAAAGTTTTATACTGCCCGTCTAATGAAGGTCTCTGAAACTTGGTTTTTTCGTAGACAAAGGCTGACTATGCCTCCATGATGGTTCTATGTAACGCTGGGATGTAGGATGTTCTCTCGTGATCTAGACTGCTATCCAGGACAACAGTAGGGTGCCGATCTTAATTTTGGGGGTTTTTCGATCATGTTTTGCATGCTACTGACTTGAAATGCAGGCAGTACATGTTATGCATGATACTTTGTGGCTATCAACGTATTCATGGTTACTAAGATATGTCTTCACTTTCGTTCTGGCAGTTCTTATCCCTTCTGTGCAATTTCATGTCGTCTACATAGATTTACCTTTCTCAAATGATGGTTGATCATTTTGTTTCTGGCTCTTAGTGCGAAGTCTGGTATTTTGGCGTGGTGACGACTGATAGGAGGCGGTCAAATTTCGGATCAGCGTTTGAAGTCATGGCTGCAGACGTGTGAGTTTTTATTATTCAAATCTGGATTTAGCATGTATTGTGGATACAGGATAACCTCATTGAACACTTACTTAACCTTGGGGCAATCACCAGCCAATCAGAATGGTTTACTGTCCTCTGACACAGTCCAACTTCAGTGTGGCTAAGAATGTATAAATGTGATGTTTTCCTTTAATAAAGGTCCGTTACTAAGTCTTTTGCCTTCTGCAATTAGACTAGGATTGGTAAGTGATGCAAATAAATCCGGGAAGTAAATGATATCTTTTAAAACTACGTCTCTTTCTACTAATGCTCTCTTCACTGGAACTATTTGCTTTATATGTAAGTTAATCTGGAATAATGACGTAGACGTATGTATTCTGACTCCATACTTAAAGGAGCTACTATTAATATGAACTCTCAATGTCCAGTCCAAGTTCAACAACAAAGAGGTGGAGTGGCAGAGGAGTCACTACTGGGTCTCTTACTTGCAGACTGCTCCTTGGCAAGTGTGGAGAATAATATGTTAGGACCCACTGTGAACAGTTTTCATGTGTACCAAAGATACATCCATGACACTTTTATCATATGTGACGAGAATCTCAACATCAAAATGGTATGTAGAATGTTCAACATCTGCCATCTTGCCACCCAGTTCATGTCAGAATCAGAGATGAACTCGGAATTCAGTTTTTCGGGTGTTTTACAGAAAAGGAGATCTGATGGTTCTCTTCAAAGATCAATCTACAGGAAACCAACATAGAATGTACAATATATGGATTTTGATAGTTAGGCCCCTTTGGTAAGAAGGAGAAACCTGATCCACTGGTTATCCTCAAGAATTAGGATGTGTGCCGGTGATACAATCGATATTGGATTGAAGAGATTCGGACGAGTCCCCACGGAAATGGATATCCTCCAAGTTTCATCGAGAAAAACGTGAAATTTAGGCATAAACCTGAAAGATCCTATACAGTAATGAAGAAAATGCTATTCATGAACGTTGAATTTAAAGGTGATACGGCAGCTGAGATTCTGAAGAACTGCTCATCCGGATCACTGAGGATTGACTTCTTTTCGGCTGGGCTTTAAATCAGTTTTCACAGCTGACATATTGTGTGTGAAAGATAAACTGCCGCTTTGGACTACTTCAGCGTTTGTTTATCAGTTCACCTGTTTCTGTCGGGCTAGTTATGAAGCGTACACTTTCCAAACACATTTCTAAACATAACCCGGCATGGTTAGCAAAAGAAAAGTACAAGACAGTCACTAGCCCGATTCCCCAGCTCTTGGTGAACTCGAGCCACGTAGCTTCACCAGAGTTGTCTCTCAAGATTATCTACCAGGTGTGGCTAAATGGTGCAAAAGTGCGTCAGGTTTCGTTATTTGTGTATGGTGGAGGCGTCGGCGATTTGTCAGTACAACCCCGAACTCTGTTTACAGAAATCATTTGACCAGTCCCTTACTTTCCCATGGTCTTAACCTCTTCACGAGTCGTTCCCAGTAGATTTTAATTTTTAGAGATTACTTTGCATTTACTTTAATAATTGATCCACTATTATCACCCTAACATGTTCATTTTTACGTTTACTCACCCTCTTCACACATTTTGAATGGACCGTCAAAAACAATTTTAACCTTATTAAATTTCTGACCATTTCTTGCTTTGTACCGTCGGGTATTTTTATGATTTATAACTTTTATTTTTACTTTTGAATCCACTTATGAGTAATTTTACCAATTATGTCCCTTCTGTTGCTCAATAACGGACTACTATGCATTTTTGGTAAATATAAGTACAACTGTACAGTCTCTGAAGATAATTTCACTGACTCAGGAAATTTTCTTTACTGAATGGTCTTTTTTCCCCACGACTCTATTGGTGTTTTCGGTGATTTAAATAGTGTAATAAATCTTGGAGGATCTTCAGTAGTTTGATTCTATTATTGTAATGTTTGGAGAAATTGTGTTTGTTGTGGACTTTAGCTTGCAAGCTGCAAAGGCTTCCTGTGTATGGGAGTGACTGTAACATTTATGTTGTCAAATTACTTGATGTGCCTGCTGCTCATGGAACCCATTCACGGATATTTCCCTCTAAAGCCATCTCGGTTTTTTGGAAGTTTAAAGTCATACGATGTCTACATTGCATTACTGTCTTTTCTCGCAAGACGCAGCTTCCACCCAGTTGATATGAGTGGAACCCGATGTCAGCCACGTCTCAAAAACCGTTAATGCCCAGCTCTTGCTACGCTCGGGCCCACGCTGTTCCTTTGAGTTTCAGAAACGCTTAGTTATAACGGACGAAAAAACCAAAACACCGATCTGCTGCTTGTTATTTCTTTATTGTTACACCAACATATAAAAGGAATAAACGAACTAAGCAACTAAGGTCTGTAAACAAATATTACAATAATAAATCATTATGTTACTTCTGACGATGTTTCACTCTTCTTTCTGAACAGCGACCGATGAGACGATGACTGTCGTATTGATTCCTCTGCGAAAATCGAGGAAGTGGATTTTGAGCAAACAAACAAGAATTGATCGTTCAATCTTCAACTCCATTGACACTCCCCGGCAAAAAAGGGATCCAACCCTTTTTTCCTTCACGACCAATGCACGTTGACTTGGATGCCATTGCGAGAACCTGGGTCACACGGACAGAGCTGAAATGGAAAACAAACAGAAAAGCCAACACACCACAAGCATACCCACAGCACAATCTCACACATCGCTGACGACCTGCGCCTCCAGACAGAGACCTCCTCTTGACATCTTGCAACACAGTCTCCACTTGCTAGAATGACTCTTGCAGAATGCAACGTGACCATAGGACCACCTCATGATACTCTACGCACATCCTCTTATCTACTCATTACCAATTACCACTGCAATCGCTTATCACTCATTCTGCCTCATTTCCAGTAGCGGTGACGCATGCGAGCCTCAGTCGTTTACACTCTTTCTCCCCGGCGTGTCGGACCGCAGCTAACGATTATCTCCGTGTGCATTTCATTCTCAGCAATAGCCTAGTCTCCCCGGCGTATACGACCCATCTGCTGTCCTTAACATCAATCAATTCATTCATGGATGTAGAAGACTCGAAACAACTTCAGAAGTAATCACGACGAAAATTTTAACAAAATTACGCAATAACAACAAGACACGAAAACAACAAGTAAACACAATGAATCCAAAATACACCAATTGATATGACACACCACACGTATATACAAGTAGTACAAACAACCTCGCCGATCATGTTTTGGTGGAATTCCTTCGAAGAATCGCAGGACTTACAGCAGTACGCCTACAACCCTTCACAGGTTGACGATTGTAAGTTGTGGAATGTCCGGACACAAACAAGATTAACCAACAATTACGATAATTGGAACTCACACAACTATTTAACACAAACATTTAGTACAATCAACACATCAAATGTTGTGGATTCCAGCATGACAAACTACCCTTGAAGAACCGTAGGATTTACAGCAGTACGCCTACATTCCTTCTCAGGTTGATGATCCAAGTGGAAGTCGTCCGGACACAAACAGAATTACCAACAGCTAGATGATAAATGATACCAATTCAGTATATACAATATCAACATATGTACAAAATCACACACCAAGCACACTGGACTGATCATTGATGCGCTACCATTTG